GGGGAGGGCGGGCAGCGGAACCAGGGCTGGCAGGAGGGCTGGCCAGCGGAGACTGAGGGGGGAGGGGGAGGACAGGAGAACCACCCTCTGGAAGCAGGGCTGGACAGGGGATGGGGCTGGATGGGGGCAATCGGGAGGAGGAGCATGGGAGAACCAGAAGCAGGGCTGGATGGGGGCAGCGGTGCTGGACTGGGGAGAGGGGGGGGGGGAAGCTAGCTGGGCTGGCCCGGGCACATGCAGACCCGGGCACACAAGTGAGTCCAGCCCTGGGGATTCCATTTTGTGCCCTCCGCCCCATACTCTCCCCCGAGTAGTTGCAAACTGCTTGGCTGGTAGACACACTCACGCAGCATGAGCACATCTACCAGCCAGGCAGTTCACAGCTACAGACTGATTCACCTAATAATAATAAAACTTAACCTAATTAGAAAATACCGGACATTTTATATATCTGGTATTTCTCAATTTGTTTCCCGGACAGAACCCTCAAATAACGGACTGTCCGGTACAAAACCAGACACCTGGCAACCCTACCTCTCCTTGCACCCTCCCTCCTAGCCAGATATCCTACCCACAATCTGCTCCTGCTCCTGCCTCTTGGGCTATACCTACACTGGCAGCTTCTTGTGCGAGAACATCTTGTGCAAGAAAACATTACTGATTCACCTAATAATAATAAAACTTAACCTAATTAGAAAATACCGGACATTTTATATATCTGGTATTTCTCAATTTGTTTCCCGGACAGAACCCTCAAATAACGGACTGTCCGGTACAAAACCAGACACCTGGCAACCCTACCTCTCCTTGCACCCTCCCTCCTAGCCAGATATCCTACCCACAATCTGCTCCTGCTCCTGCCTCTTGGGCTATACCTACACTGGCAGCTTCTTGTGCGAGAACATCTTGTGCAAGAAAACATTCACTGCCATATGCGAGCTGTGCTTTTGTGCAAGAGCGCCCATGGCAGCGTGGATGCTCTCTTGCGCAAGAAAGCTCTGATGGCCATTTTATCCATAGGGCTTTCTTGTGCAAGAAATCCCTGCCGAGCATCCGCACTGCGCTCTTGTGCAAGAGCTCCTGTGCAAGAGGGCTTACACCTGTTAAAAAAGAGCATAGCTCTTGCACAAGAAGCTCTCTTACCATGCCGTACTTAAATTTCTTGCACAAGAGCGGGCGGGCAGTGTGGACGTTCTGTGGATTCTTGTGCAAGAACGGCCATACTTGTGCAAGAAGCCGCAAGTGTAGACACAGCCCTGGAGTGCCCATGTGGCGCTGGGTCCCCCAAGCCCTGGCCCAGGCTGGGTGGAGGATGCAGCCGGGTGAAACACTGAAAATGTATTCTTTTAATTTTTGTGTGTGTGTGTGTTTATTTTTGGGCTGCAGAAAACAGTATTGAAAATAAATGGGTTCCAACTAAAGTAAAACATTTGGGAAACCCTATCTAGCCAGCTTCCTATCCATCTTACAGTCCATTTATCCACTCCATATTCCCTTAACTTGCTGGCAAGAATATTGTGGGTGACTGTATCTAAAGCTTTGCTAACACTGGCACTGGGGACTTTGGGAGGACCAGAAACAATCTATTTGAATATTCATAATTTGCTTAATGAATATGCAAATGAATGTTACCAGTACTCCAAAAGCTTGTGAATGGATTTACTGGTCCTAGTGTCAAAAAGTTTGGGAACCATGGTCTAGATTCCACAACCCCCATAGGCAATTTATTCCAGTGCTTCGCCACCCATGGCTACGTCTAGACTGGCATGATTTTCTGCAAATGCTTTTCGTTAAAAGCATTTGCGGAAAAGAGCATCTAGATTGGCATGGACGCTTTTCCGCAAAAGCACTTTTTGCAGAAAAGCGTCCGTGCCAATCTAGACGTGCTTTTGCACAAAAAAGCCCCAATTGCCATTTTCGCAATCAGGGCTTTTTTGCGCAAAACAAATCTGAGCTGTCTACACTGGCCCTTTTGCACAAAATCTTTGTGCAAAAGGACTTTTGCCCAAATGGGAGCAGCATAGTATTTCCGCAAGAAGCACAGATTTCAGACAGTAGGAAATCAGTGTTCTTGCAGAAATTCAAGTGGCCAGTGTAGACAGCTGGCAAGTTTTTCCGCAAAAGCAGCTGCTGTTAGGATGGTTGTTAGGAAAAAGCACGTTGTTAGGAAGGTTTTCCTAATATTCAACCTAAATGCCCTTCAGTGCAATTTATGCCCATTGCTTCTTGTCCTATCATCAGTGGCCAAGGAGAACAATTTTTCTCCCTCTGCCTAAAAATCTTGGTTGCATGTGAAGTAGCTTACCACGTTACTAATGTTGATTCTCAGTGAGTTCTGGAGTACTGGGGAAGTTCCAGGAGCCTGGAAGCAAGCTACCGTTGTGTCCATGTTTTAAAAAGGGGAAAGGAATGACCATGGTCTTAGGCCTGCCAGCCTGACACTAAACCCAGAGAAGGTAATGGAGTTGGTGGTACAGGACTTGATTACCCAAGAATTAAAGGAAAGTTAATGTTATTAATGCAAATCAAGAGTTTGTGGGAACAGATGCTGTCAATCTAGCTAATCTCATCAAAAAATCTGGCTGATAATGGTAATACTATTGAACATTCAGAAAACCTTTGACAAAGTCCTTCACCAAAGGCTCAAGCAAACTAACCTGTCATGGGATAAGAGGGAAGGTCTTCTCATGGATCAGTAACTGGGGGTTCACAACTAGGAAAAAGGGCAGGAATAAATGGTCAGTTTACACAGTGGAGAGGTAAAACATGGGGTCCCCCAAAAATCTGTACTAGAACTAGTGCTTGCCAGCATAGTTATAAGTGATCAGGAATACTGGGTGAATAGTGAGGTGGAAACATTTGCAGATGATACTGAATTACTCAAGTGAAGAGTTACAAAGGGATCTTTGTAACTGCGCAGCAGGGGATGGATCACTGAAAATTGCCTTGTTCTGTTCTTTCCATCTGAAGCATCTGGCATTGGCTACTTTCAAACACAGGCTGCTAGGCTAGATGGACCACAGTCCTGTCCTAAATGAAGGAATGTTGTTTCACCTGTTTTCTTGCATCTCCAATGTGATTAGAGCCAGGTGAAAGTTCAGAGAACAACAAAAAGTATATCTACAAAAAAGGTAAACAAAGCCACAGAGATAAATGAGGGGGCAGAGAAAGAGTCTGATTAATAATCACAACTGAGGTGTCACCTGCCCTTCCAGGAAGCCTTCCTGGCTCTTGCAACAGAGATGATAGTTTGAAAAATAGAAGCAGAAACAAAGCCATTTTGGCAACTATTATGGCCGGAACAAAAGGGGCCAGAGCTCTCAATGTGAAAAAGGTGGATCCTTCACAGTCAAGTGGGTTGATGTGTCTGGGAAATGGCTATGGTGAGCCACCTGCTTAGATGAAGACTGTAAATTACTAAAGTTAAATTTCAGTCACTAGGAAGCAAGTTTTTCTTGTCTTCTATTCTCCTTCAATAGGAAGTTCTCTACCTTCTTTGTTAGGAACTTTGACCTCGTGTTATTACAAAACCATCCCTGTGCCAGCCATTGAAGTCTTCAGCTAAAACCCCCAGATCTGGATCTTCAGCTAAATCACCTGACTGGAGCACTGTTGGTCTCTTTGGAGGCAGCTAACTTCTTTGGGGAGTCCACCGAGAAGGATCTGAAACTATAAGGGAGACTAATTTGGGGCAATTCAAAACAGGAAGGGCTGTTGTTGTTAACCTGCAAGGAATGACCAGGCTGGTGGAAGCCAAGAGGAGGCCAATGTGTGGTGAACATGCTGCTGGTGTCAGGGCTCTGATCCACAGCTGCAAAGCACAGATACACCTGGCGTCACAGGGCAGGCAAAGACAGAACCCCTTCTTGGTGTGGGTGAAATCCCCGAGTCACATGGAGTGGTAAGTAATGAAGACAAATCACTGATTCCGAGTGGTTTAGATCACATCATACACTGGGTACAAGCAAACAATGTTTTAATGTGGCTAGATGTCAATGTACACATGGGAACAGACTGAGGGCCATGCTTACAGGTGAGAGGCATCTGGAAGCAATGACTGACAAGGACCTGGGAGTTGCGGACATTCTGCTGAAGGGGGGTTCCCAGTGTGATGCTGTGGCTAAAGGAGCTTAATGCATCCCTGGGGTGTAGAAAGGGGAAGATCAAATAGAAGCAGAGAGGGTACTTTGTTACACCAGTGGCAGTGGTACAAGATTGCTGATAGATTGGTGAGGAATCAGAGAAGAGCCACCTGAATGATTAAAGGGTTAGAAATCCAGCCATACAGGGTACATCTAGATTACATGCCTCTGCTGACAGAGGCATGTAAAATAGGCTACCCGACATAGTCAATGAAGCGAGGATTTAAATATCCCCGGCTTCATTAAAATAAAAATGGCTGCTGTGCTGTGCTGGCTCAGCTGATCGTCGGCACAGCACACAAGTCAAGAAGCGGATTATTTGACAAGTGAAACCTTTGTCGACCGCTCCTGTAAACCTCGTTTTGGTGGCCATTTTTATTTTAATGAAGCTGGGGATATTTAAATCCCTGCTTCATTGACTATGTTGAGTAGCCTATTTTACATGCCTCTGTCAGCAGAGGCATGTAATCGAGATGTACCCAGAGTGACAGACTCTAAGGCTATGTCTACGCTGCAGGCTTCTTGTGCAAGAACTGTTTTGCGCAAGAGTTCTTGTGCAAAAGGTCTTGCACAAGAGTGTGTCCACACTGCCATGTGATTTGGATTTGGCAGTGTGGATGCTCTCTTGCACAAGAAACCCCTGTTGCCCATCCACACTGCCTTCTTCTGCAAGAGCTCTTGCGCAAGAGGACTTATTCTTTGTGGAGAGAGGAATAACTTGCAGAAGAAGCCCTCTGTTCCAACACTTTACTGTAAATTTATTTGCACAAGAACGGGCACGCAGTGTAGATGCTCCGCAAGTTTTTGCACAAGAACAGTTGTTCTTGTGCAAGAAGCCTTCAGTGTAGATTTAGCCTAAGAGCGCAAACTATTGAGTTTAACAGAGAAGGGTTTGGACTGACTTGATTACAGCCTAAATCTCCATGGGGAACAGATTTAATAATGGCTCTTCCATCCAGCAGAGACAAGTCTAACCTGATCCCTGGCTGGAAGCAGAAGGGAGGCAGTCCCAGACTGGAAAGAAGGGGTAAATTTTCAGTTGTGAGAGTAACTAACTGTTAGCTCCTGGCCCTAAGTCTGAATTGTTCTATTTGATCATCTAATTTGACCTGCACGTGGCAGGCCACCCCTGCTGTTCCTGTAACAGACTTCTAAGGTCTTGCTGAATTACTGATGCCCTCAAATCAGTTTGAAGCTTTCAAGTTACAGAGACTACACCATTTACTTTCATTCAGACCAGTAAGAGACCCATTCCCCATACAGTGTAGGGATGGTAATAAGCGAGTATTTCACTAAGGCTGCATCTAGACTGGCAAGATTTTGTGCAAATACTTTTAACGGAAAAGTTTTTCCATTAAAAGTATTTGTGCAAGAGAGCGTCTACACTGGCACGGATGCTTTTGCGCAAAACATCCGTGCCAGTGTAGACACTCTCTTGCGCAAGAAAGCTCTGATGGCCATTTTAGCCATTGGGCTTTCTTGCGCAAGAAATGAACGTGGCTGTCTACACTGGCCTCTTGCGCAAGAATACTTGCAAAAGAGGGCTTATCTCTTTGCGGGAACGTTGGAGTATTTGCAGAAGAACCTCTGATTTTGTACATTACAAAGTCAGTGTTCTTGCGCAAATACTTGCGGCCAGTGTAGCCAGGCGGCAAGATTTTGCACAAAAGCACTTGCTTTTGCGTAAAATCTTGCCAGTCTAGACGCAGCCTAATGGTGTAGTCAATAGAATTTTTATTGACTGGGCCTCCCGCAGATGGGCTGCTGCCAGAGCAGCCTCTGCCTATTGCCAGAGCCAGCTGTCAGAGCAGCCACCCTTTATCCCCACCCTCCCATGCTGCTGTCTCTGATAGAGGCAGCAATGGGGGGTGGAGCAGGCAGCACCAGATAGAGGTGCTGGGGAGAACCAACTCCTGCTTCCCCCACCCTTGTTGCTTCTGATACAGAGGCAGCAGGGAGGTGGGAATGTGAGTAGTTGAGTAGTCAGCTTGACTAACTGATAAGCCAAGCTCACTGGTTAGTTGACTACTCACATCCCTAATACAAAGTGGAGCTTGTTGAGTTTATAGTGGGGACACAACAGAAGGTGTAAATCCCAGGATTGCTGCTAAGCTGACCTGGTTGAAAATTCCCATGCCCACATCCAGTGATCAATTGGACCAGGGGTGGGAAACCTTTCTTAGATCAAGAGCCCCTGACTCAGACAGATCAGTCAGGGGCCTTACGCAAGTGGGAAGCAAAAAACCCCTCACTGACATTGCCCCTGACTAAAAAGGGGAAAGACACATTCCTCTCGGGTGGTGGAGTGCCAGAGCAGGCTCCCCAATGCTGGGGGGAGCCCTGAGCCTCAGGGACCGGATCCAGGCTAACCAGGGGCTGAATCCAACCCCTGGGCCTTAGGTTCCCCACCCCTGAATTAGACACTGAGCATATCAGAGGAAAAAGGGCCTTTTTACCCAGCATGCTTTGGTAGCTGCCCACCAGTCTCAGGTCCCCTGGTCTATAAGTTGCAGCATCCCTTGGTTTTGGTAAAGAACAATCACAGGAGCAAGCTGAACTCACCCAGCTCACCCTGTCACCGGGCCATTGGCACACCAGCTTTTAACTCCATTGGCTCTTTGAGGGATTTTTCCTCTACTCTAACAAAGCACCCAGAATTGGAAGGACAGCTGTGCAGGCAGGTCCCCTCCCACACTGCATCTTCCCAGCCCCGAATGTCTGAGTCACTGCATCTGGGCTGAGCTCATGGTGCTGTGACTTTGTGGGCAGGGCAGGGCAGAGAGTGAGTCCAGTGCTGGGGACTGGCCCCTTTGCCAGACGCTGTGAGGGGCTTGCAAAATGACACATTAAGCTTTTGAAAGGTGACTTGCCAGGCAGCTGGGAAGCCAAACCCATGTAAGATCCTGACGCAGAGCAAACATGGCGCCAGAGATGCTGAGAGTGGACAATAGCTGGGCATCACTGCCTCTTAGGGCAGAGAGTCATTCCCATCCACTGAACAGAGCCCTTTGCTGCTGCACTGAGTCCTGCGTTGTGTGTCCCCAAGCACCACAAATGCCATGAGCCTAGTAAGAAGCACAGCTCCCTGCTTGGCACCAGAGATCAGTGATGCCAGGCACTGCAACAGGAGACACAGCTTGCAGCATTGGATGTCTTACCCCAGCTCCTGGAGTCCTGTGATTAGGGAGGCACTCAGCTTTCATGTCTGATTAGCTTCTATGATGAGGTAACTGGCTCTGTGAATATGGGAACGTCAGTGGATGTGATATACCTTGACCTTAGCAAAGCTTTTGATATGGTCTCCCACAATACTCTAGCCAGCAAGTTAAGGGAGTATGGACTGGATAAATGGATGTAAGATGGACAGAAAGCTGGCTAGACTGTCTGGCCCAACGGGTAGTGATTAATGGCTCGATGTCAGAATGGCGGTCGGTTTCTAGCGGAGTGCCCCAAGGATCTTTTCTGGGACTGGTTTTGTTCAATATCTTTATTAATGACCTGGATGAGGGGATGGATTGCACCCTCAGCAAGTTTGCAGATGACACTAAGCTGGGGGGAGAGGTAGATACGCTGGAGGGCAGGGACAGGGTCCAGAGTGACCTCGACAGATTAGAGGATTGAGCCACAAGAAATCTGATGAGGTTCAACAAGAGCAAGTGTAGAGTCCTGCACTTGGGACAGAAGAATCCCAACTCCCAAGCATTGTTACAGGCTGGGGACCGACTGGCTAAGTAGCAGTTCAGCAGAAAAGGACCTGGGGGTTACAGTGGATGAGAAGCTGGATATGAGTCAACAGTGTGCCCTTGTAGTCAAGAAGGCTAATGGCATATTAGGAGGAGCATTGCCAGCAGGTCCAGAGAAGTGATTATTCCCCTTTATTTGGCTCTGGCGAGGCCACATCTGGAGTATTGTGTCGTTCTGGGCCCCCCACTATAGAAAGGATGTGGACACATTGGAGAGGGTCCAGCGGATGGTGACCAAAATGATAAGGGGGCTGTAGCACATGACCTATGAGGAGAGACTGAGGGATTTGGGTTCGGTTAGTCTGCAGAAGAGAAGAGTGAGGGGGGATTTGAGAGCAGCCTTCAACTTTCTGAAGGGAAGTTCCAAAGAGGATGGAGAGAGGCTGTTCTCAGTGGTGACAGATGGCAGAACAAGGAGCGATGGTCTCAAGTTACAGTGGGAGAGGTCCAGGTTGGATATTAGGAAAAGCTATTTCCCTAGGAGGGTGGTGAAGCACTGGGATGGGTTCCCTAGGGTGGGGGTGGAATCTCCATCTTTAGAGATTTTTATGTCTCGGCTTGACAAAGCCCTGGCCGGGTTGATTTAGTTGGGATTGGTCCTGCCTTGGGCAGGGGCTAGACTTGATGACTCCTGAGGTCTCTTCCAGCTCTATGATTCTAAGTGGAATATCTAGCTTTCATGGGTACAAAGCTTGAAAATGTGATCCACGAACTCCCTGAGCACTTCAACCAGACAGCAAAGACACCCTCTCTGCCCCTGTCATGTTGGGAACTGTCTGGAGTTTTGAGCCAATCTTGGGACTTTGGGGCCCTAATTCCTGGCTTTTGAATACTTGCCTTTGGGGCAGAACAATTGACCTAGCACAAGGCCCAGCCTTACTAGTCCATTGGCAGCAGTAATTTTTGTAATTTTATTTTTCTGTAATTTTTGGACTGGTGTTTCATTGCTGTCTCCCAGATCACTTATAAGTGTCTAGGGGGTCTGAGATGATACTCTTCCCCCCCCCCACACACACACACTTACTTCTGAATGACATTTTAACAAAAGCTACCCCTGCACACAAGGGAGCAGATCTGACACACAATTAAGCATCACTCTTATTACATATTAACAGAAACCCCTGTAAACTTAAGTTGGAGGGCCTGAATTCATTTGAGCCAAGCAAGGCCCCAATTCAGCAAAATGCTGAAGCACGTGCTTAAATTCCACTGATGTTAGTGTGTCTTAAGCACATGCCTCCACATTTCACTGGAGTGCTTCCAAATGAGAAATCAGACTTTTCGATGAATATTATCACACTTGTGTTAAACCTGTTTAGGAAAACGTCCACTCCGGCTTTTAAACTGCCCTACTGAAGCTGGCCGTTTGAATTGCCTGTCTAACAGGACTGGCAGCCCCCCTCTGGGGGATGGGTTTGGGTATGTAATTTTCAGGCATGGACCCAGCTGCTGAAAACGTGTCCCAGAATCCCCCTCCTCCAGGCAGAATCCAAGCCAGCGAGCAGGCCCACAGCCTTGGGGAGGGCTGGCAGAAACACCTGTCCCTGTGCCCAGGGATAAGTCTTGCAGTGATCTATTGCTGGCAGCAAAGATAACCGAGTGTCAGAGAGATTCCTATGGCCCCTCCCACCATGCTCCTCTCTGCAGTTACTGGCAGGCAATAATAAGGGGGCTCCCAGGCACAAGCCCCCACATAAGGAAGCTCTACCGCTGCCAGAGCTGCAGCAAGGGGGGCAGGAAGGGAAGCCTGCCCCACAGGCTGGGTTTGCTGCTGAGCATGGGGGATCAGCACCTGTCCTGCTAGGTGAGGCCTGAGCCTTGACTCTGTCTTCCCCATGCAGTGGGCTTCCCCACTCCACTGCAGCTGGCGGATGCCCAGCTTGGCCAGGGAGGGACTAGCAGGCGGGCAGCGTGCCAGGAGCTAACAATGTTGATTAATGTTCTGATGTCTGCTAAGCCCCTTCTAGAAATGCGCTTTAATATTTCTGATATGTGCAAATCTATTCTGGAACCTGGAAATGCTACATGGAGCTAGGATTAGGTAATGTAGATAAAGGCTGTGGCCGGGCCTGGCCACAGTCATTTGCAAATACAGCCTGAGATTAAGGTATTTTTTGAAAGATTAGTTGGTATTACTGCTGATTGGGATACACAGGCTCAGGCGGCAGCCCCCTGCCGCCAGCCCCCAGCACCAACCTGCAGTTAGGATATTGGATGGTATCACAAAGATCTTAAGGCATCCGTGCAATCATACTTCCAATCTAATGAAAATTACAGCGCTAAGCTGGGGAGGGGGCATGGCCCCTCAGTTACTGGCCCAGAATTGCTTTGCAAGCACATGCCCACCCAAGAAAGCCAGGATCCTGTAAACCCCTGAGAGCAGAGCCTCCCTTCAGATTAATTTAGCCAGGGCCCACCCCAGGGATTCAGACACTTAACCCTCCTTGTCCCACGGCAGCCCAGAGTGGCCAGGGCCCCACAGCTAGTCAGGCCAGTGTTTGCGCCAGTTCACAGTGCGTAGATGGAGTGGGGGTTGGGAGCCGACACCGCTAACAGGTGTGGCAGCTGCTCTCCCATGGTAGCCTGGCATTGCTCCCATGTCCCTGAGCAACAGGTTTCTAGCTGGCACCCCAGGGCTCAAGCCCTTGCCTGGCACAGCCCCAGCAGCGCTGGTGTCAGAACTCTCCTGGTGCTGGGTGCTGAGCAGCTAAGCACCAGGCCGGAGGGATGCCCCCCAGCACCTCTGCAGCACCCACCTCAGCTAGGGCCAGCCTAGGGCTCACCCAGGTCGGTGATGATGGCTGCGTTGTAGATGAGGTCAGAGATGCACCCCAAGGAGGTCTGCACAGGGAACACGTCCCAGTAGGAGAGCCCCTCACCGGTCGCAGGCTCCACTCCTGGTACCCCTGCCTGGTTGGGGCTGGCCAGAGGCCAATGGGCTCCCCCCTGACTGCAGGGGGGCTGGCAGCTGCCCTCCCCTCGGGCCTGCCCCGGGAAGGCAGAGACCAGGCAGGGGAGCGCTGGGCCTGGGCACTGCTGCGGGGAGCCGCCTAGCAGGTGGAGCTCAGGCCCCTGCTGTCTTCTGGCGCCTGGGCACGGGGGCAGGAGGGCGCTGCCCCGGGGCGACGGGGGGCAGGAGGGAGGCGGTTTGCTGGCCAGAACCCTCCGGCAGCTTGGCCGCTCCAGCTTCCCGCTCTTCATCCTCCGAGCGCGGCGGTTCTGGAACCAGACCTGGGGAGAGATGGGCCGTGAGGGTCCCGCAGAGCCCCGCTGCGCCCGGCTCCCCCCCGCGGGCTCCCCGCCCGCCTCACCTGGATCTTGGCCTCGGGCAGCTGCGTGAGCTCGGCCAGGCGCTCACGGGTGCCGATGTCCGGGTAGGGCAGCGCGGCGAACACCCGCTCCAGCTCGCTCAGCTGCCCCCGGCTGAACGTGGTTCGCCGCCTCCTCCTCGGCCCCGCCGGGCTGCCCCCAGCGCCCCGCTCCAGGCGGCTCCCTGCTGGCAGGAGGGACGGGGCGAGCTCAGCCCCAGCGCTGCTCCCGGCGCCCGCCCCAGCTCCCGCCACCTCCCCGCTTCGCGCGCTCTGCCCCCGGCACCGACCTGCGCGGGGGCCCCGGCCGGGCTCTCTGTCGGGGAAGCAGGGGCCGGCCCCGCTCATTCTCCTGCCGGGGCCCCTGCGCCCAGGGTCCCGCCCCGCAGCTGCGGCTCAGCACAGACGCCCGGCGGCTCCCGGGGCTTTTATCCCCGGCCCGCCCGCGTCCCCACGTGCCCGCCTTTGCTCCCCGCGGGCTCCGCCCCAGCCGCCTCCCTCGGGGATCCCAGCCGGCCGCCCTGGCTCTCCTGCCTGAGCCTGGGCTCCGTAGGGCGGGGCGGCTTTTGCTGGGTCCCGGGCCCTGGCAGCCGCTCCTGGATGCTGTCTCCCAGCCCGCAGGGCCCCGGGAAGGAACTTTGCCTGGCGCCGCCCCTCGCTCCAGCCAGGTGAGTGGCCGGGCCCTGCCTGCCGGTGGGGAGAGGGGTGGCCCAGAAGCTGTCCCAGCTGCAGAGGAAGGGCAGTCCTAGGCACCGAGCGCAGCGCCTCGCGCCCTCCATGGGGCTCCGCCCTAAAGACGGGTTGCAGAGGGTGTAGCTGGAGTTTAAAAGCTAAGCAATGATCCGGGGAGGGGAGGGGGCCTGACAAAAGGCCACGTGTAGGGCTCGTCTGTGGCATATGGTTGGTGTCAGCAGTGGGCTGGCTGCCTCCCAGGGCCCTCAGCCCTTCTGGCCTGCACTGCTCAGCATGGGGCTGCCAGGGCTCCTCTTCCTACCTGCGGCTGTACTAGCCATGGCTAGGACCAGAGTGTGGGGCTGGAGGGGGTACAGGTGGGACCCAGCCTTCAATTGCTCTGTCCTTAGGACGCTGCCCATTGGCCGGTGCTAACTGGGGCACCCAGGGGGGTGAAGCACTGCCTGCATTCAGAGACGCGCCTGCCCAGAGCCTGGGCACGGCTTCCCCCTCCCAGGCACTGCTCTGGTCCTGGCACAGGCCCACGGGCTGGACGATGAATTGGCCAAGTGGGCAGAGGGAAGGAGAGGAAGGGGTCAGTGGGCCCAAGACTCCTGTGGACATGCCAGCAGTGAAGGGGAGAGAACACAAGTGGCACGGCCACTGCAGTGGGTGCAGGGACCCCTACCCAGGGCAGCTAGAGCGACACTGGGCCCAGGGGGACAGGCCATCTGTGTGGGGAGGACTCACAGGACACCTGACCGGGTACCTAGTGCTGCCAATGAGCAGTGTGAAGCTGTTCTGTGCCAGGCCCCCACATTGCATTTCCTCCAGCCTTGGCTACCCCAACTGCAGCAGCCTGGCTCTCCCCGGCAGGAGTTGATCCTTCTTTCTGAGGCCCTTTAAAAGGAGCTGGCTCTGGCTAGCTTCCAACAGCAGGGGACCCCTTCTCCTCAGGAGTTTCCCCTGCAGCAGGCCACTTTCCCAGCCAGGCCTGGGAGAGGGACCAGCTCCTAGCGTTGCCAGATGGTTTCAACAAAAATACCGGACACACTTGACATTACTTCACAATCTACTTTCCATCTTATTTAGAAAATACCGGTGTGACGTAGTGGGGGTACTTGCTGGGATGTGGTGACCCCTGCTGTCTGGAGCAAGACCCAGCAGGGAAAACCTCACTAGGCAGAGGTAATGCCAAACTTGTTGAACCAGTGGCCAGACACCCCCCATGGAGAGGAACAAAGGGAGGTGGATGCTGCCCTGGCTGGGGGGCAGGGCTGGAAGAGGGTTGGTTAGTTCCTGTCTGGAAGGCAGGGAATAAGGAGCTGGGGAGGGGGCTGGGACTCCCCTATCTCAAGGGGGGGGCACTGAGGCCTCTTAGCCCCAGTTCCTGTAACCAGATTACATCTGTGCTGCGCTGTGCTGGAGGAGCAATAAACCACCCTCAATTCCACTGGCTGGTACAGTCTGTTTGTGCCATTTCGGGGTGCAGGAGACGGGGAACCCCCAACGCGCCGTCACAACCGGACATTTATATTTTCTCAGTTCTAGTTTCTCCATTTGTTTCCGGAACAGAAAGCTCAAACACTGGACTGTCCGGTTCAAAACCGGACACCTGGCAGCCCTACCAGCTCCCGAAGCTGGTGCAGGTGAATATTTAACCTGAGCGCTAGCACTTGTTTTGTTTGGGCAGTTCTGTGTTGGCTGGGGGTAATTCTGGCTGGAGAAGGGGGCTTTTGGGCAGCCCAAGAACTGCAGATTTCACCCTGCAGAAGAGAGCTGCAGGACTTGGAGATGGAGCCGGAGCTGCAGCAGGCACTGGAGCCCAAGTGGGGCACAATCCACTACATCTTACTGAGCAGTAAGCCAGAGCCTCGGGAGCTAGTCTATTTGGAAATCATGGGAGGGGGGGCGGGAGCTAGTGGAGAAGCCACCCCAGCTCTCTGGGGCGCTGAGGAGCTAAGGCTGGTGAGGGCACCCTGTGCTGGCCGGGGAAAAGAACCACAGGTCCCTTCAACCAAGGAGGCCCTGGAGTCTCCTACCATGCCTGGGGTGCTCCTTGCCCTCTGGTGGTGGAAGGGTTAACCACATACCTGAGTAGCAGGCCTCAGTGCTGCAGTTGGGGAAGGGCTGCAGGGTGTTGGAGCCCAGAGAGAATGAGCCCAAAGCCTGAGTGCTGCATGGCCCAGCAAGCTGGTCCCCAGCCCTCCTATGGCTTGGGGCTGTTTGTCCCTGGGGGATGGTGCCAGGGTCCCTTCTCCACCCTGGTTGTTTTCCCCAGGAGCCCAGTAGGCAAACAGGATTGTCCCCTAAACAGGAAGGAAACGCGTCTCTGGGTGGGTGTCAGGTAAGGGGCAGGGCTGTGCCTAGGGGAGCAGGGAGGGCACAGACGGGCAGTGGGGGCGGGGGCCACGCCTGGGACACAGGTGTTAGGTTAGTAGAGCAGCAATGCAGCCACAAAGCACGAGGGGCCCAGATGAGACTGGGGTGAAGCCCAGGGTGGGAGCCGAAGGAAGAGGGGCTGATGGGTGAAGGAGCCAAGTCCAGGTCCCTGGGGTCATGGGGGTTCCTGCATGGTGAATGATGCCTTTCCCTTGGGCTAGGATTCGGCCCCTGACCTGCCCAGAGCTCCGCAGAGGAGACCAGAGTGTGGTGCATTGTCTTGGGGACACTGTCTATGTGTCCCCCTTGGAGGGGCCAAGGCCAGGCACTGGCCCGAGTGGGCCTGATCCTGAGCCAGCTCTTCTCTCCATGTGCCAGGTGCATGCAGCTGGGCAGGAGCTGGCCTGCAGGTTAAGTGCGGTGTTCGATGCAGGCGCGGCCCAGGAAGAGCTGTTTGAAGGCAGCGGATGAAGCGACTTATCAAGCTGGCAGCAAATGGGGGAGGTTGAGGCAAACCGGAGTGAAGAGCATGTCCCCCCTTGCAGCCTGCCACTTCACCTGCACCTCTCCAGCCATGCACATGGTCCCCTGCTGGCTCACCCCCACCATGGCCTTCTCCCCAGCTGCCAGCTGCAGCTTTCCACCTACCCACACCAGCTGCAAACGTCCACCAGCCCCACTCCATTTTGTGACTCCCTCCCCAGTAAAAACTACAACCACACCCTCACGCCCAGCCAGATTCACTGTCACTCCTTGGCCCAGAGCTGCTGCGTCTGGGGCCACCCAGCTGTGCATGCTGCATGCCCTGGCTCCCCCACCAGAGGCCCCCTCCAGGGAATGGTTCAGGTGCTCAGCAGCTCTTCTCGCCCCTCCCCAGGTCCTGCACAGCTGTTGGCTTTGGACACACAGGCTCTGGAAAGACCTACAGCCTCATGGGGCCCGTAGCCCAGGTGAGACTCCCTTAGGTGCCTCCCACCATGCTGGGCAGACGTCACTCAGGGCCTTCCTGCACTTCCCGGGTCACAAGCCCTCAGCTCTCCCAACAGGGGGTGTGGTGGGGGGTGGGGCAGAGCACTGTCTGTGAGGAGAGCTCCTGGTTACCCCAGCCCCCGCTTCTCCCAGCAGAGGGCGCTGTGGGGGGTGGGGCAGAGCACTGGCTGACGGTGGTTCTCGGTTTCGTGCTGGGAATAACTTTTCCTTATTCACTTTCTCCACACCAGTCATGATTTTATATACCTCTGTCATATCCCCCTTAGTCTCCTCTTTTCCAAGATGAAAAATCCCAGTCTCTTTAATCTCTCCTCAGATGAGACCTGTTCCAAAGCCCTAATCATTTTAGTTGCCCTTCTCTGAAGCTTTTCTAATGCCAGTATATCTTTTTTGAGATGAGGAGACCACATCTGTTCGCAATATTCAAGATGTGGGCATACCATGGTTTTATATAAGGGCAATAAGATATTCTCCGTCTTATTCTCTATCGCTTTGTTAATGATTCCTAACATCCTGTTTGCTTTTTTGACTGCCGCTACACACTGAGTGGACGTCTTCAGAGAACTATCCACGATGACTCCAAGATCTCTTTCCTGATTAGTTGTAGCTAAGTTAGTCCCCATCATATTATATGTATAGTTGGGGTTATTTTTTCCAATGTGCATTACTTTACATTTATCCACATTAAACGTCATTTGCCATTTTGCAATCATGTAGTTTTGTGAGATCTTTTTTAAATTCTTCACAGTCTGCTTTGGTCTTAACTATCTTGAGCAGCTTAGTATCATCTGCAAACCTTGTCACCTCACTGTTTACCCTTTTCTCCAGATCATTTATGAATAAGTTTAATATGATTGGTCCTAGGACTGACCCTTGCAGAACACCATTAGTTACCCCTCTCCATTCGGAAATCTTACCATTTATTCCTACCCTTTGTTTCCTGTCTTTTAGCCAGTTATCAATCCATGAAAGGACCATGACAATTTAATTTATTTAAGAGCCTTTGGTGAAGGACCTTGTTAAAGGCTTTCTGGAAATCTAAGTACACTATACCCACTGGATCCCGCTTGTCTACATATTTGTTGACCCCTTCAAAGAACTCTAATAGATTAGTAAGACATGATTTCCCTTTGCAGAAACCATGTTGACTTTTGCCCAACAAATTATATTCTTCTACGTGTCTCACAGTTTTATTCTTTACTATTGTTTCAACTAATTTGCCCGGTACTGACGTTAGACTTACCAGTCTGTCATTCCTGGGATTGCCTCTAGAGCCCTTTTTAAATATTGGCGCCACATTAGCTATCTTCCAGTCATTGGGTACAGAAGCTGATTTAAAGGCTAGGTTACAAACCATAGTTAATACTGTAGTTCCAGTTTCACATTTGAGTTCTTTCTGAACACTTGGGTGAATGCCATCTGGTCCTGGTGACTTGTTACTGTCAAGTTTATCAATTAATTCCAAAACTGCCTCTAATGACACTTCAATCTGTGAAAATTCCTCAGATTTGTCACCTACAAAGGACGGCTCAGGTTTCGGAATCTCCCTAACATCCTCGGCCGTGGAGACTAAAGCAAAGAATTCATTTAGTTTCTCCGCAATGACTTTATCGTCTTTAAGTGCTCCTTTTGTATCTGCATCATCCAAGGGCCCCACTGGCTGTTTAGCAGGCTTTCTGCTTCTGATGTACTTAAAAAACATTTTGTTATTCCCTTTTGAGTTTTTGGCTAGCTATTCTTCAAACTCCTTTTTGGCTTTTCTTATTACCTTTTTATACTTAATTTGGCATTCTTTATGCTTCTATTTACCTCACTAGAATTTGACTTCCACTTTTTAAAAGATGCCTTTTTATCTTTCTCTGCTTCTTTTACATGGTTGTTAAGCCATGTTGGCACTTTTTTGGTGCTTTTACTGCATTTTTTAATTTGGTGTATACATTTAAGTTGGGCCTCTATTATGGTGCCTTTGAAAAGTGTCCATGAAGCTTGCAGGGATTTTACTTTAGTCACTGTACTTTTAATTTCTATTTAACTAACCTCCTCATTTTTGCATAGTTCCCCTTTCTGAAATTAAATGCCACAGTGTTAGGCTGCTGAGGTGTTCTTCCCACCACAAGAATGTTAACATTTTATTATATTATTGTCACTATTCCCCAGCGGTCCTGTTAGTTACCTTTTGGACCAGATCCTGTGCTCCACTCAGGACTAAATTGATACTTGCCTCTCCCCTTGTGGGTTCCTGTACCAGCTGCTCCAAGAAGCAGGCATTTAAAGTATCGAGAAATTTTTGTGTCTGCTTTTCATCCTGAGGAGATGTTTACCTGGTCAATATGGGGATAATTGAAATCCCCTACTATTATTTTTTTTATTTTGATTGCCTCTCTAATCTCCCTTAGCATTTCATAATCACTATTACTGTCCTGGTCAGGTGGTCAGTAATATATCCCTACTGTTATATTCTTATTAGAGCGTGGAATTACTATCCATAGAGATTCTATGGAACATGTTAATTCATTTAAGATTTTTACTTCATTTGATTCTATATTATTCTTTTACATATAGTGCCACTCCACCACCCCGCATGACCTGTTCTGTCCTTCCGATATATTTTGTGCCCTGGCATGATCGTGTCCCATTGATTGTCCTCACTCTACCAGGTTTCTGTGATGCCTATTATATCAATATAATCCTTTAACAAGAGGCACTCTAGTTCAACCATCTTATTATTTAGACGTCTAGCATTTGCGTACAAGCACTTAAAAAACTTTTAGTTGTCTGCCCTGCACTGTTTAGTTGTCTGTCCTTTTCTGATGTGTCAGATTCTTTTTTATGTGAAAGTTTCTTGTCTGATCTGGCCCATACTTTATCCTCTTCCATCCTCTCTTCCTGACTAAAACCTAGAGAATCTCTATCAATAGACTGTCCTGTAAGAGACATCTGTGTCCAATCCATGTGCTCCTCTGCACCAATCGGCTTTCCCCCATCTCTTAGTTTAAAAACTGCTCTGCAACCTTTTTAATGTTAAATGCCAGCAGTCTGGATCCACCTTGGTTTAAGTGGAGTCCATCCTTGCTGTATAGGCTCCCCCATCCCAAAAGTTTCCCCAGTTCCTTATAAATCTAAACCCCTCCTCCCTACACTGTCGTCTCATCCACGCATTGAGACTCTGAAGCTCTGCCTGCCTACCTGGTCCTGCGCATGGAACTGGAAGCATTTCTGAGAATGCCACCATAGAGGTCCTGGATTTCAGTCTCTTTCCTAGCAGCCTAAATTTGACCTCCAGGATGTCTCTGCTACCCTTCCCTATGTCATTGGTACCGACATGTACCACGACCACCGGCTCCTCCCCAGCACTACACCTAAGTCTATCTAGATGCCTCAAGAGTTCCACAACCTTCACACCAGGCAGGCAGAGCTTCTCCCGGTTATCGCAAACGCAGCTATCTACATTTCTAATGAGCGAATCTCCCATTACTAACACCTGCCTTTTCCTAACAAGTGGAGTTCCCTCCCCAGAGAGGTAATCTCAGTGCGAGAGGCTACCCCAACAACATCTGGAAGGAGAGGCCCAACTATGGGAAGGTTTCCCTCTGCTCCCGTTGACTGTTCTCCTTCCCTGAGCCTTTCATCCTCTTTAACAGCGCAGGGGCTGTCTGACCGGAGGTGGGACAGTTCTACAGTGTCCCGGAAAGCCTCATCTACGTACCTCTCTGCCTCCCTCAGCTCCTCCAGTTCAGCCACCCTGGCCTCCAAAGCCAGTACGTGGTCTGAGGGCCACTGGGGGTGGGCTGGGCATGGGGGGCGTGCAGGGGGGTATTCAACATGTGCGGGGGGGGGCTGGGTACAAGGGGAAGCACTCACCTTGGCAGACCAGCCATGTTTGGGGAGCCCCTCGGATGGGTATTGCAGGATCTCCTGCTCCAGGAGGCCTCTCAGCCAAGGCCAGGCCCCACCAGATCCGTGGAGCTGCTGGCTAGGTGCCCAGCGTGCCCAGCTCTGTGCTGCCTGGGCTTTGGTGACACCCATCTGAGTTCCTGGCTTGCTGCTGTCCCTGAGCATCTTGGCTGGGTGGGTAGCCAGCTGGCACACAGGGCAGAGGACCGATGGGCCATGGAGCCTGGATTCCCGACTCCCTTCCATCGGGACACCTGCTCCAGGTTCCAGCCTGGCCCTGGCGCCCAGCCCAGTGCACACACAGGGCACCCTGCCAGCTGGACAGCAGCGCCATGGCCTCTCCTGGGCACACTTCCTCTTGCAGACGCTGCCTCCGGTCTCACAAGCTGGCACACAGGGCAGAGGACCGATGGGCCATGGAGCCTGGATTCCCGACTCCCTTCCATCGGGACACCTGCTCCAGGTTCCAGCCTGGCCCTGGCGCCCAGCCCAGTGCACACACAGGGCACCCTGCCAGCTGGACAGCAGCGCCATGGCCTCTCCTGGGCACACTTCCTCTTGCAGACGCTGCCTCCGGTCTCACAGGTACGCCCCACCCCCGCAGCCTGGCGGGGACAGACCAGGGCAGTTGCCAGCCTCTGCTCTGCTGGTCCTTCCAGCTGCCGCCACAAGAGGGGCTCATTGCCCAGAGCGGGTCCCGGT